TTACTAATAAAATTATCACCAATCAATATCATACTTGTAACATTTCATCATGTTTATAATACAATAATATATAATATTAATAATCTCAAATTTATTAACAGCTTGGGCAGCAGCTCCCAAACTTTTTAGTCTCAGGACCCTGTTACCCTGAAATGATTGAGTAACCCAAAGAGCTTTTGTTCATGTGGGTTTTGTCAATATTTACCATACTGGAAACTAAAACTGAAAAAGTCTGAAGCGCTTATTGTTTGATTTAATAGCAGCTGGATTTTCATCTTTCTTGTGTGTGTAATCCTCTGGAGAACTGGACTGTACACTCAGGAGAGAATGAGAGTGAAAAGTCCTGGTATGATTCTGAGTATAAACTTGTCACTGCAGACGCCCTCTGGGAACCACGGCTCTGGGGACGCTGTTGGTGGGCTGCGTGGTGTTCGCGGTCCCCTGTGTGAATGGCTGTCCTAAGATCTTTTGGGTCCCGTTGGGAAACTCTCCACCCTTCACGGGTACACAGCCCCCCACCTTCCTACAGACACACACCAATCTTTTTCCTTCATGATCTACTAACAGAAAGTCCAACACGCATCTCGGTTAACATCTTCATTACAAGGGATCTATTGATTCATAGTTTTTAGTTAACACTGAACTTTTTTCCTGTAACTTCATATCATTTCCTTACCCTATCCGCTGCTTTATTGCCTACAGAAATAAGAACATGAGTGGTTTAACGCTCAAATTAGTTTTGATTTTTATTTGTAAGGGGTTTGTGTGGGGATATCTGCAGGGGAATGTTTGCTTTTATCCTTGGTCCTCCTTGCCTGACCTGACCCGGCTCAGCATCCTCCGGCTTCCTTTTTCCTCTGCTCTTCTTTCCGTACCGCCGCTCTAACTTACCAAGCTGCAAGCAGAGGCGGTGGTAACAAACGCAGGGACAACGGCACGCGAGCAGGGGTTCCCCTGCCCCAGTTTGCTCAGCTGTGTTTCTCTCCCGTCCAGGTCGGCCGTCCTGCTCGTGTCCTTAACCAGCCCGGACTGCCCTCCGGCCTCAGATCCCAGCTCCTTCTTTCTGCCCTGGCCCCGTGCTCCAGCCACTGGCTTGCTTTCTTCCCACAAACTTCAGTTTCATTCCCACTTCCGAGTTCTTCCGTCCTCTGCCCGGATCAGATATTTGCTCTCTTCTATGGGGCTCCGCTAGGTTTACTTCCTCAGAGAGGACGTCCCTGGTCACCACAGCTGAATCAGTTACTCTGCCACTCCATTCTCTTACCCTCTACCTTCTTCCTAGCACTCATCCAGAAGTGTTCGTGTATCGCTTTTTTCTTTTTGAGATTAAAAAAAACTTTTTTTAATTTAAAGGCAATAGTTTATTTATTTTTGGCTGTGTTGGGTCTTTGTTGCTGCGCGTGGGTTTTCTCTAGTTGCGGCGAGCGGGTGCTACTCTTCGTTGCGGTGCGCGGGCTTCTCATTGCGGTGGCTTCTCTTGTTGCTGAGCATGGGCTCTAGGCGCAAGGGCTTCAGTAGTTGTGACACATGGACTCAGTACTTATGGCTTTTGGGCTCAGTAGTTGTGGTGTGTGGGCTTAGTTGCTCCGCGGCATGTGGGATCTTCCCGGACCAGGGCTTGAACCCGTGTCCCCTGCATTGACAGGCGGATTCTTAACCACTGCGCCACCAGGGAAGCCCCTTATGTATGGCTTTGTAAACTGTGAGATTCGGAGGGAAGGGACTTTGTCTTGCACGTAAGCTGCTCCGTAGCTACCGGTTGAATGAGTCATTGACGCCTCCCTTCTGCTCCTGGATTGGGATGGATGGAGCCTTTGCTATCGATCTGCGATGGCGGCCTTCGTTGCTTGAGATCCAGAAGTCAGTCTATGAACTGGTGATGCAAAGAGTAGGAAAAAGTTGCTGCTGCTAATTATTGTTTGAGAGAAAGCCATGTGACTTTCATTTTCTTTACCAAGGGACATGTTGACTGCCTGACCATATCTCCATTCCATCTCAAGTATTCTATTTGGCTGCTCTTTTGAAATCCGCCAGCTTCCCTCCCTCCCTCCCTCCTTTCCTTCTTTTTTTCCAAAATTGCCTTTGATTGTCATTTACACTGGATTTTGTCTGCGTCAGATAAAGTGGGGGAATAGAGTGTGACTGGCCCTGCGATGGTTAAGAGTGCTGGGAAGCACAGGGGAGGCCATTGACTCACATCTTTCAGTTTATAGAGGAAGAAACAGGCTGGGATGCTATGACTTTCCCAGGGTCCCAGTTAATGGCAGGAGGACTTCCAAGCCCAGATTTTCTAGCTCCCACTTCAAAGCCAAATGCTTCTAAGTCTGTGCCCAAACCTTCTTTCTCCATAGCTGTTGACCAACCAAACAATTAAACGCCTCTGTTTTCTTGTTTGTAAAGTGAGAAAAATCCTCGCTCAGACTTGTTTGGAGCCTTCAGTGAGAATGCGCGCTGCGGGGCATGCTGAAGCCTCCGGGGTGTGTCAGCACTGGCTCCCTGCTCTCCGCTCTCCTGCAGTGCTGGCTCCTCAAGTAGAAGAACCTGTTTTTTCCCTAATTGGCCTGGTGTTTGTCTCCTTCTCTGCATTCAAACTGTAGATCTTCCACACCCTTTTCAAAGCCATGGGTGGGCTTTTCAGCTTTCACAGGGCCAACACTGTCTAGACAAGTGAACTGTTAAAAGTTTTGTTTTAAAAAATGAGTCTGATTTTTAGAAATTGATGTTTCCTTGTTATTGAAACATATATATCACTTTTCACTTCAGAAATGTAGCTACATCTTTAAGTTACCCTAATACCTCTACCATATAGAAAAATGTTCCACCATAAGAGAATCCGTATCTGTGATACAGGGGTGACGCTTCCAATTTCAGATAAAGTAGTAAGGATCTTATCAACTGGCTTCTGTACTGCCCAGCTTAATGTGGTTCGTAACTAAGCAATTACAAAATAAAACAAAAAATTTTTTAATTACATAAAACGACAGAAGAGGGAGCTATTGAGGTTTGATTACATTTTCCATTGCCCTGGTTGAGGTTTTTCTTTAAACTATAATATTTTGACTTAGATTTTCTCAATTGTCAACAGACAGGAAAAGTTTGATTATACTGGAGGATGCATATTCACTTTGGAGGACTGCAAAAAATGAGTTTATTTTTTTCTATCATCTGGCCCCCTTCCATTCTTTATCATTCCCCAAACTCCTGTAAAGGTAATTGGTATAAGAAAAGTCACGGTGATCTTACAGTGGTAATTTTAGAAATGAATCTACTCCATTAGTGTAAATCCGGGTCATCGGGATCAGCTGTTCTACGAGCCGCTGTCCTAACTTGTGCTTTTGTCTGGCTTCCCGGAAACTTCTACTGGGCCTCAAAGTCTTACGGGGATTTTTGCTTGTATGATATGAGACCTGAAAGTCTTGAAATTCACAGGCACGGTTGACCTAGACAAGACACGCCGTGTGCATGCGTGGGTGGCATGTGCAGTGTGTGGATGGATGGGTGACAGGGAGGGAGGTGGAAAAAGTTTGTTTCGGGCCTTTCTCCACAATCGTCTTTAGGTCACGCCCATGTGTGTGATTTACTCCTGCTCTCCAGGTCCTGCGACCTGCTGGCCCTGTGCCCCCTAACTGGACCCTCAGCTTCGGAGCTCTCCCCACTCCTAGCCCACCCTCCCCACTTCAGCCATCGTCTTCAGTTTTTTCAACACAAGTTCGAATTCCTCCTCTAGGAATTTCTCCTTTTGTGCATAAGTGCCTAAAAAAGGGTGTGGGGATGTGGGGATACTCCTTGCAGTGCTGTTTGTAATAGCAAATTAAACCATAGAAACAAGTCTGTTGGTCTAAAGAGTAAATGGTGGAATTCCTAACAATGAAACACTGGGTAGCCATTAATGCTGATGTGAGAAGATGGTGATGAATTTTCTTAAATTAAAAAAACTCATGGCACATATGATTTGTACCATGAGTTTTAATTGAAATAAAAGATTCACATATAATTTTAATACATAATTTAAGCAATTTTAAAAGGATTTTATAGCTGAAGTTTTTTGAGATATACATAGGACATTCATAACAATGGCTACTTGTGAAGCATGGTGCTAGCCTTTCTGGGTGTGGAGGAGGAAAGAGGAGAGGCTTTGCTTTTTGTCTTATAACTTTCTTTGGTTTGAACTATCTACCGAGAGCTTATACTTGTAATTAAGAACATAATTTAAATGCAGATGAAAGGGGAAGGGTGGCGTGAGGGATAGATTGGGATTTTGGGATTGACATGTACACACCGCTATATTTAAAACAGGCTTCCCTGGTGGTGCAGTGGTTAAGAATCCGCCTGCCAATGCAGGGGACACGGGTTCCAGCCCTGGTCCGGGAAGATCCCACATGCCGTGGAGCAACTAAGCCTGTGCACCACAACTACTGAGCCTGCGCTCTAGAGCCCGTGAGCCACAACTACTGAGCCCGCATGCTACAACTACTGAAGCCCACGCACCTAGAGCCCGTGCTCCGCAACAAGAGAAGCCCCCGCAATGAGAAGCC